CATTATATTGCCGTGATCACGATCATTCAACCGAAAAACGTGTATTTTTTGCAAATAAAGTTATATCACATTTCATAAATTAAATGATTAAATGCCGAGTGCCTTTCTTTGCCACCTCACAAATTTGCGTTTATTTACATTGGCATCTTGCATCGAAAAAGTACTTTGCGATCGAGGCGGTCACAGGATCACGGACGAGTGACTCCAGCTAGATCGAGTCTCATCTGAAACGTACAGTAAATCAAAATTCATCGAAAAATGAAAAAAAAATTATATTTAGCACATACATAACAATAGATCAAATCAGAATAAGCCAGCAAACATGCGTGTCCATAATTAGTCAACACCCATTCCATCGCAATGTTCTATCGCAGGATCTGCCGTATGCCAAGAATCTCACAGACCATATTACATGCGTTACGTACGTACACGTATAATATCAATATTCCATATTCCATATGCAGGGCACATAATACAATGTTTTGGAATGATTTTTATTTTTCACAAATGCAAAAGAAAATCCGATTGTGTTAAAATTTAACGTTTTGTTCGTTCCTTTCCTCTTTGGAATTGAGTGATTCCGGTAAGGAATCAAATACCGTAAAATTCGAGAATGGCTCGAACACGTCGGACGTACAACATTTTACCCCTTAAAACCAAATTTGATCTGGTAAGCGACGACGACGATTGGTGAGAGTTTGTAGAAATGGGTAATACAAAATATAGCAGTCTGGTAAGTTCTTTATTACGTGACATCATCTTGGATTTCGGAGTTGTCCCGAGAATTGACCTTAATTCCTCCATGCAGTGACTTGACCAGAGCTAAACCAAATGCGTCGAATAAAGCTCAAACACAAAAATACATTTTGAATAACGGATACGGCAGTTGCTCACGTTTAGACCCCAAACCACAAAGTATAATAGTTTGTCACCTATTTACGTGCTTGCCAGATTTGTGGAACCTTTCTGCGAAACCTTTCTTCGTACGAAATTTTTTGTTTACAATAATTTCAAAGACATTTGATAAGTATGTAGAATGACATAATGTTATTAATTAGTTGGGGCCAAAAATAGAAGTGTACACAGAAGTTGATAAAAAGCCACATAGTAGCATAAACAAAATTATAAACGAAAGAGGAAGGACCTGCGAATATATTGTGCAAGTGTTTTGCTTTTACAATACTTGATCCCGCGGAAACAATCGGTCGGAAATTTTATTAAAAAAAGATTCTTGAGGTCCTGAGTATAGATATGTCACACCACCAAAAAGATGATGGATCAGCGACCTATTCAAAGGTAACTTTTTACAAATTATTTAAGAGGTTAAGAGTTGGTCAGCTGGTCAATTGGTCGGCCGGCTCCGTTATACCAAATGAATGAACCCCTGTAATGTATGTAAACATTGTATGAAAAGAAATTTCTTAAACAAAGACACAAAAATTCTAGCGCGCGTTTGTCAGAAGTGAATCTCTCTGCCCATTTGGCGACTTCACTCACTCATGCACCTAAAAATACTTTCTATCAAGTGATGATAGTAAGACCCCTTTATTTCTCAAAATGGCAGGGGGATAACATTTGTACGATACTTAATTGAAGTTAAAGCTTGACTCGTTACGTACAGTACAGTATATACAGTGATACTCTATACACTGTGAATAATAAATATAATACTATACGAAAATTTGTTTGTCACGCCAAGAAACTCATCACATCAACCGCCAACCGGAGCCTGACCTCTTGGTTGTTGTTGATTCGTTCGTTCGTTCGTTCATTATGAGTCATGATTTACACACATGGTATGCATACAATTTTCCGAACAAGATCACTTTTGTGTGGATGAAGATCGTGAAGATGAATTCCATTACGTGGCGGACTCATGGATAAAGGACATCGTTATGCTTATCTCCCACGTTGCACCTCCACATCAACAAGGACACGACGACATTTTTCCTTCTTCTTTGTCATTGGCTTCGCCAATTTTCTTTCTCTTTTTCCTTTTTTTTTCTTTCTGTACATTATCTAAGCACTCACATTCTAAATTGTTATCCATTAGAATGATCACGTGCGAGACATGGACACAAACCGGTGTTGTGTAATTAAAACTGATTGAGACTATAGAAATGATAAAGCAAACCAATTTCTCTTTTTTTTCGTTTCTTTATTACAAGAACGATGAGTGAAAAAAATTCAATGGCTGGCATATCCTTTGAATCTTCCTTCGGTTATTACGGCCTTCCTTCGATCATTTACATCAATCAATCAATCAATCAATCAATCAAATAAATTAATAAATAGACTGATTATGCGTATAAAATGAATAACCGATTGCGTGTAGAATCATGTACTTTGACTCAATTATTGCTGATAACGGCAATGCATTGATTTGATAACAACTGATAAAGCAAGCAAACACCCTGCCAAAGAAAGATATCGAGTCATGCTGCCTTATTAATTCTTCCCACGTCAATAGAATTAATTACAAAGCAGGAATGCGTTCGGAACAATAACTTGCTTTGATGAGTCATACAAATATTTTTTTTAAGAAATCGCATATACATTCAATTATCACCAGAACAACAGACGCCCCTTGACATACAGTATTTCCGACGGTAAAAAATGATATCTCAAAAATCGGATATCCTGATCAGAGATAAAAAATTTCGAATAACTGTAAATGTGGAAATCTTCATTTGTGTTTTTTTCGTTGTGGAATGGTAATCTCTTCAAATCTTATCAGCTGCATTATCTGTTTTATCTGCAATTCACCAACCTGCGACTACGGAATAATGGTATAATAAGTCAAGGAAACGAGCGTAGTAGTTTGGTGGTGATCAGAGATAACGTATGCAATTTACCAATTTATTCCCGTAATACAATCACCTAAATTCGTTACAGTGACAATTGTCCGAACGAATAACTTTGGATTCTTCGAAAGATATTCCTTTTTTTTTTTTATATATATATGTAAATTTTATCTCCTGTATATGCTGGTTCACCTGAAAATCATTGCACAAGAATGTATAATTAATTGCATGCTGCGTCGTATTGAAAATCCTAATTTTTGTGACTCAATGCGCAGTATGTTGTGTCTTATTTCGGAGACCTGTGAACATCTACAGCATATCATTGTGCAAATCATTTTTCTTCATTGCGTCACAAACAGACTTCCAATTTCCACCCGACCGTTGTTCCTGAAGCAATGTGATAGACTTGTGTGATTTATGCCTGAGTTTGTGTGGCTTGACGGGATGCCTCATTGATGTGACGAGAAGACGGCTCAATTTGGTAGTCTGAAAAATGGTCAGAAAATAAGCTTATCCAAAACTCGATAGAGGGATCACATGGTCGATTATGCAAATTTGTGTATAAATATTTCGCATCCACAGACTCCGCGCGGAAACTTTGCACGAGAGTTGAACTTTTTTCACCCTCCCATTTTAGGAAATCAATTAACCTTTGATTAAATAAGTAAGTTTGCAAGATGATCAAATTTAATTCCTTGAGACAGCACCCTACCTTCAAAACAAATTGATGACATAATAATGCCTTGTTTCTTTTGGGTAAATCTTTGGAATCAATTAATAAATAGATTGTGCGAGTTTTATCGTTATATTAAAAGAATGTGTCGCGGTCAGACAAACGTGAAAACAAATTTATTACAACATTCGATGTTTCTGTTTCCATTGGTTAAAAACTATTCGATTTTTTGTTTTCATTACACGCATACATAGGAGCAAAGATAACATCTTATTAATCCGTAACATCGATTTGGAAATTCCGATGATTAAAACAATACCAAGAACCTTAATATTTATTTACTTTTTCTGTCGGTCATACTTCCAAAAATAAATTGTGGTAGTCGTGGAAAAACGATTGATCATTACATGAAACCATCAACCCTTTATCGTCGTAACTAAAAATAGTTCCAGAATTCCCAATTCCAACTAACAAATTTTGTACAAGGCATATCGTTTAACTACGTGTATCAACGGTTAGCTTCAAAAAAAAACAACAACTCTATAATTAAACTGCGCGCGTTATCATCAATTGGGCTTATCATTGCTGAACTAGGAGTGTTTCAAACTGAAATCTTTGTTGTTTGGAATTTCAAGGAAATGGATGCACAACGTTACAAAGATGCTTGGATTTTAACGATATTAATCCGAAAATGCTTTTTTTTTTTCTCAATCAATCATTACAAACAGTCACCCATTTTAATTATCAAATCATAGCCATCTATTTACTGTACATACTGTATGCTCTACCTAAATGCGTATATTGATACTAATATTTACATACTTTTTTTTTTTTTTTTTTTAAATTTAATTTAATGAACTATATTATATAGTAAGTGATAAATATTTATCTTGATTTTTTTTTTTTTTTTCGCAATCAAACAAGTATTTCCTGTGTTTATTTATTTAATCTCTTATAATCAAAAACATAATAATACTTGACTTCTATGCATAACCATAACCTATTTTAATACTTGAATAGGTAAAACATTATCTTGTAAAATATACTTTTATCAATTAAAAAAGATACTTTTATCAATTAATTCTATATACAGTAATTTAGGGAAGAATTGTAGTTTAATACTGTATAAAAAAATCATTTTTGATTTTCAAAAATTGAAAACATTAACATTCTTTCTCTTCTTTCTTTCTTTTCAATTTTATAATGCTACTGGATTTTTTTTTATATTTTATTATTTTTTACAATGTCTTATAAAATATTATTATATTAAATTATAATTAAATACAAAAATATTTTGATTATAAAATTTAACTTAAATTTTTAATTGTCTAAATTATTTATTTTTATTGATTAAAATTATTTGTTTTTTATTAATTGAAATTATAAAGGCAATTTTATTATAACAGAATCATTTTTATCAATAACAAAACAAGTGTTGCATCAAGATTCTTATTTATCTAACTATAAAATTCTTATAAAAAGATTTTAATTTTTTAATAATATGATTATTATATAAAGATATAAAAATTTTTTTTTTTAACTAAATTGGATTTGTAAGTATAAATAATTATTTTAAATATAAATAAATATGTATATTTACCGAGCCCCCAGATTTGGTAGTGTGTGTCAACTATAGGAACAACTCATGGAGCATTTACTAGAAAGTACATACGAGTGCCGAATATTCCGATGCAGCCGTTTGGTCCAAACCAACGTGATTGTCAAAAATGACTTACAGAAGATTAACATATGCCTGGTGAGAATCGATCTTTAAGTCCAAGTATGGACCCACCCACGAGGTGTAAAGTTGGTACTCAGGTAGAAATGGGCGGGTAGCGTCAGTTAAATAGACTGTTCATGTAATGACTATATAATCTGTAATTGATTAATAAAAGCCACGCATGTATCACACTTAACCCAAAAAAAAATAATAAATAAATAAATATGTATATTTTATTTTAAATAAATAAAAAATCTATTCTTAATTATATTGAAGAAATATAATTAAAAAAATAAATATAATTATATAATAATTATAAAGATTTTTTATAATAATTTTATAGAAACCTTTATAAATCTTATTATTTAATTTTAAATTAAAAAAATATAATCTGAACTTTAAAATCTTAATATAAATATATAATAATTGTAAAAATTCTTTATAATAGTTTTGAATTATTGATTATAAACATTATTATTATTTTTTTTACTATAATTAAACAAATATATATATTTATTAAATCTTTATAAAAAACAAATAATATATTATATATTATATTGTATAAACTATTCTATTGCTTTAAATATATGTTTTAAACTATATTTTTAGATATAACTTTAGAGATAAAAAAAGTTGCTTTTTTTACTTTCTATTTACTTATAAAATTTAAACTTAAAGATTATTATTTATAGTTTATTACTATAGTTAATTATAAATATTATTATATTATTAATTAATTAATAATAATTTATAGATTATCTTGAAGATTTCTTTACAATAATTAAAATATCAATTATAAATAATATTTTATTATATAATCTTGTAAAAATACAAGTTGAATTAAAAATTTTAAGAATTTTAATATAAATATATAAAAATTATAAAAATTCTTTATAATGATTGCAAATACTAATTATAAATATTATTATATTATTAATTAAATAATAATAATAATTATATTTTTAATAAAAATTAAATATAGAAAAGATA